ATGAGAGAGTATATAAAACCATGGAGGTAATAAGAACTTATTACCTCCATGATAAAACCAAAATAATATATGGTCAATTGAATTCAAAATCGTAAGGCAGGTGTGGTCCTGGCCAGTGTCAACAGATGATGGAAATTAGAGTATGATTTGTGGGTGGGAAATTGTGTAGACTTTGCCTAGTACTTTAATTATGTATAATTAGTATAGCTAATACCAGGGGGTATCTAGAAGTTGTTTCAGCCTACTTCCTCACAACACCCTCTTTATGCCGTGGTGTTTTCCCACCGGTGTATAGGTAGGCAACACCATTGAACCCGCGCTATATTTTCGTTTTCGTATCGCTGAATATAAAAAGCCCTAGTAATTCATATTTCACGATCATCGTGCTCCAGATCAATTATATGCTCAAAATGCCATGGTTTTATTCATGGCGCTGAACTTTGAATCCCTCTCATTATTCTTACTACCCGCCCGAAAAAAATGCTTTTAACCAAAGACTGGAAAACTACTATTGACTCACCAGTGTCCTCCTTTCTGGTTGGCATTTTTTTTTGTTATAAAGTCGATTTGTTGTGACATCGACAGATTTAAAACTCCAAATTGAAGGATTTAATGTCAGAATTTCGAGATAATTATTTTTAAAAAAAATTAGAAACGCAATTCCGTGCAAGTATTTGCAATATTTGCCATGAAAGCCAAAAAGTCAAAATTTCGCGAATGAAATCCGAGTTTCAATATAACTGTAGAATACTTTATTTTCGCTATTTTTGCCGAAGGAATGATTTAGTGAAAATCAAATCCAGCGAATACTAGTATATCTTTTTTCCTATATTTTAAATTCAACCCATCAAAAATTAGTGAAAATAAATTCCACACAAAACAACCAAAAAGTGTATTCAGCGAATTTCAAAATGAATTCCAGCTAAAATGAAGTATATTGTAGTATATGATTTCTAAGCACAGCTGTCCTACATAGAACCGTGAAGGTAGAAAAGGGATCTCTTTTCTACCTCCATGATAGAACCCAGGCACGCCCATGTGTCCTCAGGCTGTTTCTATGTGGCCACGTGGTCTCATCGACCTTGTTTCCAGCCTTGTTCCTGCACGTGATAATGTGGTGATCCAGTGCCTATATGTCACGTGTTCGAAGTGCCCCTGTACCTATACTTGGCGACGTGTTTACAGATCTAATAGCCTAAGATTTTATCATCAATAATCATATATTGACATCAAACTATGTCAGCAATGCCACAATAAACACTGTCTTTAGTGTTATTTTTTTCACGATTCCTTACACAACAGTCACAATTTTACGAAGAAGAAAATTAACCACAATTAGCCTGAGTGTATTCTGAGATAACATATATATTAACGTGAAGTCCACTCAGAAATAAAAATAAATAAATCGTACTCCCGTTCAATGTACGTAAAAATGTTTACGGGGGGGGGGACATTTTTTTCGAGAAAATGATGGTTTATATTTTTTAATGAATGGTGACCTTTTTATCAGTATTGGAACGCTTTTACAATTGTTGTTATGGTTATGATTTAATGACATATGTAACATTTTAGGCTCGTGACATATTATATATCTGTTTTTATTATTTAAAGTATCTAGTTTTAAAGAGTTTATTAATAATAAAGCCTACTCATAATATTTGAAAAAGTTGGCCATAAATCGCATGGTATTGTTCATTGGTTTCGTATTAAAATTGTGAAGCTATTGTCCCATGACACCATGAACTAGCTTTTTTGTGTGTTACTGTGGCGTATTTTGAGAACCTTGTCCTAGTATTTTTCAAAAATCGCTATTTAAAGATCAATCAACTTGAAGATTTTTGAAATAATTCAGAACAACAAAACGTACCCATCATTCACAATATTAAAATCGTTATTTTTTGGATCAATCAACTTGAGAATTTTTGAAATAATTCAGAACAACACACGTACCCATCATTCACAATATATCATTTTATTCAGTTTATGTCACTAACTTCAGGCTACAATTTTAGATATGGCATAATATCTCTGCTATAGGAACCTATATGATCATGATAAAAGCGTTATAATACCGACAAAATGGCCACTATCCACTAAAATACAACCATCATTTTTCACGAAAATTAGGCTGATGATTCCACATCTTTTTTTGAATATCCTTATATTGCCTGGGAGCACAATTTATTGCAAAATGAATAAATTCTGGTTAATATGTGCATTTATAAGTAGGCTTCTACCTGAATATTATGTTGAAAATAACTACTCTAAACATAGCAATTTGTAAACATTTGGCCAACGGATGGTTTTCACCGATTTCAGTCGACTGACTGTGTTTACTACACATGGCAACATTATTTGTTAGCATATGTTTGTATAATAAAGATATTAATGTTTTATTAATTTTGTGTGCTATTTCCCCCATGTGTCGTGTGTTTTCATCTCGCCCGAGAACAGTGTTCTCCCACGAATGTAAACATACTTACCTTTCATTTCCCAGATCAACACTAATAGAATTTCTGAATTGCTGCTTCCATTTATATCTCTACGATGCCTCATTTGGTGCATTATTTGCAATATTATATTTCAAATATTATTTAACAATCTCAGACTGGATATTTTACTCAATGAATCAGCATCATATGTCTACGAAAATTAAACTGCGCACACTGGCTACTTCAGGATCAATCGCGACGCTAACAATTGCGCGATTATGACCCGTTCCTATGGCTATGACGTATTTTTAGAATGGCTAAGCAATGAAACAACTGAAAAATTGCATTCCTCTATAAAAACGGATAAGTCTCTGCCGCATAACCGGTACAAGTGGCTTGAAGCGCACACCGACGGTCATATATTAAACAACTTAGATTCGATTGAGTCTATGGTTGAACCGCCAGCCAAGGCGGGACATAGACTTGAAATCGAAACCAATAATTAAACTACTAGAGCAAATACCTGACTCAGATTATAATCACACACATACACCAAAGTAGGGTGTTTGATTTGTCAAAAAGAAAAAGCGACGTTACACGGTCAGAGTTCTAGTACACGTGTCGCAGGCGTGAAGGAAACGTACATATGATCATCGATATCCTCACGATGTAGCGGCTTGGAAGCAATGTACATATGCTCTGCCGATAACTATTCTAATGTTCCAATAATAACATTACTCTCAATTGGTAGCCGTTAGTTGCATGTGTGATCAAAATTCTCCCAAAATTATTAGTCCCCATGATGCTCAAACCAAGACACACAATAATAAGTAAATTAGATGTCCATACATTCGCGATGTCAGTCAATGATGACGTCGTATATGACGTTTTGATCACGTGGGAGAATCAATGACACTCCACGCTGCCGTTGCTCACTGGCACGGGTTCAATTCGTGATATGAAAATGCAATACTCTAAGAAATCCATCTAATCATGGACATAATTGATTTATATATATATATATATATATATATATATATATATATATATATATATATATATATATATATATATATATATATATATATATATATATTATTATTATTACATTCGTGCCGCTTATTAAACTGAACATGCGTTGTTTTATTTGATCACATGTCCGTCAAACATGCCGTACAGAATTTCCCCCATAATGTAGACTCCTTTACAGTGAAAAATTATAATAAATGTAGAAAAAAAGGGCAAAGTACGTTGACTCGGTCACCGCTGATTCCGTCAATATATTTGTTGATGGTAAAAGTATTGCTGTTTTTGTGTCAGTACAATATATTAGTAAAGGGTCGTGCGTCGGTCGCCGGGTCGGATCGGAGAGAGCGAGCGTCGAGCGAGGAGCTCACTGCTGGCACGAAGCCAGATGTATTTATAACATAATATATTCATTCGAGCATAGTTGCAATAACCTAGGACATACTGTACATTATACCGGATCCGGATCAATAATCAGACACCAGAACTATTTTTTTCTTGAACCCTCCACGGGAAATTTATTTCATCACTTTACAGTACCAGAGGAATGGTGTAATACGATGTAATTGTAGAACCTACGTTAGTTCCGCTAGATTTACTCTATTGTCATGACTTTTTCCCGGCTTGGTTTCATGTCATGTTAGAGGCATGATGGAAAATTCGATTGGAAACAAGTTTTTGGAGATTTCATACTGACATTTTTGTAACAAAAATCGGGCTAAAATGAACTTGAATTCAGTGAAAATAAAAAGGTGTTCGTCAGTGTCGATGTCACGGTAAGTTCATATGTTTTAGCCAACACTCGAAATAGTAAATTTTTTCGTTTGTGGCCGTCACGAAAAAAGTTACGAAAAGTCACAGGATAAATTACGAAAAGAGGAAATAATGCTTTCTAGTGGTGTTCTGCACTGGGCTCCGTTGATGACACTGCAGATGCCAGAGCACATTCTTGCCTTTTTGTCCGGTTTGCGAAGTGCTTTTACTTTTTGTATTAGCAGTGAAAAAATAGAATGTCAGATGTTTCAATTGCACGTTGATATGAGAATTTTTTTTTACCTTAGTACGTGAAGAATTTAGAAACCGTGCTTTATATTTTGTAAGCATAATCGCTTTTACTTTTAGTCTACACGTATCTTGGCTGCCATTATTTGTACGCGTGATACATTGACATTTACCAATAAGATGCGTGGGCGGAGTGTGGGAGGAAATTCCTGTCCCGCGCTTACTGCATGCCTGCCATTGGTTGTCCTCGTGTTTACCTTGGTTTATGTTAATAAGGTACTACCATTATTTTGTGGATGTATGGCGGGGGGTTGTCCCGTTCGTCCCTGCGAGCGAGATTAGAAAACATACTACATTTTCATAATCTACGCTGTAAAAATAAGCAACATGCCATTTCATATTTAGCTAAAGTATACTTTAGCGAAAAATTTCTTTCAAATGTTTAAAATCTATATTTTTGTATAATTTGTTTCAGGTTTTGTCCCCCACACTCGTGGCCAAGACCCGTTCATTCATGTTCGTGCAATAACACGCTACGCTCCACTATCTGTTCACGTGAACAATTATGCTGGACTTCACGAGCATGTGCTGTATGGTAACGAAGTAGTATTGCATCACCTGAACGCTAGGAAGACAGTAGTTTTTATCACTCTAAACGCTAGACCTTCCGAAAAACAGTTGTTGACTTACACAAGTAAATAGGTAAGTTTGCGTCGTGTATTTTAATGTTTTGCTCAAAATCGCATTTGTAAATTGTATATTATCATGATAGGAGAGCTTCGCGACCAATAACATACTGAACTTCTGACTAAGGTTACACGGCGGCAATCCGAAATATGCCGTGAATCTCGTGTCGTTTATTAATATGAATCATATAATAAGCACACACATAAATGTACTAGTTGTTTAATGTATCTGCACACCAATATTTTTACGTGGGAAACGTTCTATAACAAAAAAAAAAACGCTTTGTTTTTTGTTTTGTTGTCATTCTGTTTATTGTTAAATCTCCGGTCCATCACGTAAACAAACGAATTTGGCGCCAAATACGAAATAAAAACAATTCACCAAGCTTGCCATCATTAATAGAATATTAAGACATTTGATTGTGTGACAGTAAATCTCTTAACCACGATTTGTCTGACACATTTATGCAGAGTATCTCGCATTTTCGTGTTTGATTCTGATACGGCCTGGCCCGCGTGTACAGTGTAAACAATAGACTTGTAAACAGTAGTCAAGACCGTTTACGCGCCATATATAAAATCGTATCCATAGCCGTAGTATACGTTGAATTGTTTCCAAGCTTTTCACCATATGTTTGCCAAATTTAACCACTTATGTTTTACACTAACCCCCCCCCCCCCTTTTCTAATCTGTACGTATTTCGTCAAGAAAATATCGTCTAGAGTAGGGTCGAAATTTTGAGCCAGATATAATTTCATACTAATGATCTAATTATTTAAATTTTTAGCCCCAGAGTGAATAGTATTTCTGGATTGTGTGGTGAATAAATCTAATTCACGCGTAAGTGGGCTTCATTGGGAATTTGTTTTCTTGGGAAATTTCTACATTCCTGCTGTCATTTATTTTGCAGTCTGTGATTGCATCATGTATTCAACCCCCCCTCCCCCTCGCTGACATAGATTCGTTTTAGACTTCAATTTCATCACTTAGCACATTCTTTCAAAACTTATTTTAAAAACGCATTGAATATAAATAATTCTGTATTTCTTTTTAAATAATTTCTTATTCATATTGCATCTTATCTAAAACATAGATATAGCCAGTACTTTAATGGAATGGTGAAGAATTCTAACATGCTTGCATCCTATTTTTATCAATATGCAATATTGAAAATCTACTCTGTCTCTAACTATGTAAACCAAATCCAGTCGCACAGTGGCAGGGGAAGGGGGTCCACTGTGCCCATATTCTGATCTTGTGATCTCCACCAAAATACTTGGTGTAGCAATCTTGTAACCTTGACGAATTGTTGCAATGCAAAAGCTTAGTGAAGCCAAAAATATCCAGTAACCCTGCCTACTAAATTTTTTCACAATTTAAACATTAATTATGCAAATTAGCTTACCTACCAATGTTGTGTACTGTTCAAAAAGTTCATTCAACTTCCATTAGTAACATTATTAACACAAGCACATACCTACATGTAGACATGGTACTAGTCCCTGGCCATGGTATGACTTACACAAACTAAAAAGCCATATAAACTATGCAGCTGAGGTAAAATGTGGTCTATAGAATATCAATTATTTTTTGGCTTTCAGGAAATAAATTAAGCTAGAAGGTTTTTTTTTGTCCAAAACAACAAAAAATATATAAAATGTCAATGTGTTCTCAACCATTTGTAAAACTCAAACATGGCATGGTGGGTCATTTTATTAATGTACAATTTTGTTTTTCAATTTTATACAAAGGGCCATAATGTTTGCATATCAGTTTATTTAAAAGGTTTTGGTAAATCTAACTAACTTCTCTTGAAAAAATTTTTCTGAAGTTAACTTTATACAGGCTTGTCAGCTTCAAAAATTGCCTTGTATTTTGACAAATCATTGTAAAATTAAGTACAAAAGTTAACACATGGTGGACTGAAATACTTTTTTGTTTTTGGGTGTTTCCTATAAATTTATTTTTCACTGATTTTTGACAAGTTGAATGTGAAATATAGGAAAAAGGTATATTTGCCGGATTTTATTTTCACTGAATCATTCCTACAGCGAAAATAGTGAAAATGAAGTATTTCACAGTAATCCAAAAATGGTAGTGTGACATCATTAGTTCTAATTAATATTAATAAGCATGTTCAACATAATCCAATCAGCAAGCGTCTCATTTTGAATAAGCAGGCGGTCCCAGTTGCTGTTGTGTGAAGGCATGTGCTTGCATTATTAGTGTAGACAATGCCATTTTATATTGAGCTCTTGGGCCAATTACTATTAAATGTTTGAATAAAGGCTGATGATCGGTACAAATTGTAATAAATACGTTTATATACTAATGTTCATCCTTCTGCCTTTTGGTGTTTTCCATATTCATGCCAAATTAGTTTTGTTCCATGAAGTTCACTCAAAATTATCGAGGGGGGCTATATGTCATTCACTATCTCTGTGAATTGTTCAAATCAACTTGTGGTACTAGTATATTATCTAAATATCAAAGGTCTGCAGTTCATTCATGTTTCTAACCTTTTCACCACCAGGTCCCTCTTTTCATCACACAATAGTCCCATTTATAGTCTGTACTTTCCTTCAGAATGTTGGGACAAAAATAGCCAAATGTTTTGAGTAAAACCTGAAAATGGGTTCATTTCCAGAAATATTGATAAATATAAGATAATACAAGTCTGGTAGTGAAAAGGCCAATGTAGTGGCAAACTAATAAACTTAACTCGGCACTGATTTGTGTTTTACAGAATAACAATGAATTGAGAGGATAGCATACATTTTTGTAGAACTATGCCTTAGGCTAAAACTTCTTTCAGTTCCCATTCGGATATGCTTACAAAATAAAGACTTTAGTTTTGGTTCTTGCTCATTCATCCTGACATAGCTGGTCGATTTTGTACAAAGTAGTTACACCAGATTTGTACTTTTTAGAATTCCACATATTAACTATTATCTTTATTACATGCTATTTTATTGATGTGTCTTACTTTCACCATAGATTTACTTTTTCATTTACGCATGTTGTCTGGCGTGACATTCATTTGGGTTCTCAAAATGCAGGAAAACTTAAATGTATCCTTAAACCCTTCTTTTGGACAAGCCTGGGCCAATTTCATTTGCACTTGATATTATGAAACATGCATATGGGGGCTTACTGATACATTTGCATTTTCAAAATTGGACATGCTAATTTTTAAGACACTGAACAACTTCGTTCAAATCTAGTACAAAAGAAGGAAGGAAAAAAAGAATGAATGATATATGTATAATTGCATATCAATTTGTTTTTTTATTTTAATCATGTTTTGAGTTACTGATGCACATTGTTGTGTTTTATGATCTGATTTGAAATATCAGACAGGCAGCTGTTGTTTTTTTCTTCTTAACCATTTCTTTTATGAAATTTTTGCTAAATTTGATATGAAGGTATGTCATACATGTCTAGTAATGCTGTATGCTTGTCGATTTTTCAGTGAAATTTAATTTCTTAAATTTAATCTTTTTTCTCAGTTTTATATCCTCTAATTTGAAAATCATACCAAGGCTAAAATAACTTGTATATAGTTTAGTAATGCTAAGGTTTGAACTTCATATTATTGAAGGTACCCCCTTCAAGGCAAAAGTTGCCAAAATAAATAGCCTTGGTGTATTTACACAATAAAAATCTGTATGGCAAACTCTTTGGGCGTTGATGCAATTTACTTTTGATGCTCCCCTAAAGTTCATGCCCTGTAATGCCAACACCTGTTTCTGCTGCTCTATGAAGCCACAATAATAAATCACATGACGTTTATCAACTCAAAACAACATTTCTTTTACCTTGTTCAAAGGGCACACTGTAAAAGGGTACTCCTGTTTGTTGGACTTTATGCCACCTTTATAGTGTACATTCCAAATTTAATATACTATCCACGAGAGGAGAGTACCGTATTTGTGAAAATGTTTCAGATATTTGGGTTGAAACTTTACTTGAAATTGCAAACTGCTCAAATGTTCATTGTGAAGTAAAACATTGTTTTTGCGGCACAGAAAAAAAAATATATAATCAGTTTACTGTAAAATACTTTATTTTCACTTGGAATTAATTTTCGCTGAAGGAATGATTCAGTAAAAATAAAATCCAGCAAATATATACAATCTTTCCTATTTTTTACATTCAACTTGTCAAATATCAGTGAAAATAAATTCCATACAAAACACCCAGCTAAAATAAAGTATTTTACATTATTAATAAATCTATACCTGTAGCTATATTTTAACTGTAGTCGACCAGCGCTATAAATTATGGAAGAGCATCAGACCTGAATGTCTGTTGTCCTTCAAAGTATAAAGGCATTTCCGTCAATGACTAAGAATACTAATGTATGTTAAATATAGTGTGAATTACAAATATACCAGTAAATGTTGAATAAGAGATGTGAATAAACTCCGACATGCAATCGTGACTTGACTGACCTGTTTACAGACTGACGTTTTGCCTTTTGATTGTTTATTCATTCTCATCTTATTAACTAATACAATTTTAAGGTATCAATTTGTGTTGTGTACGTGGTTTGTTCAAGCTTTTTTTCTGTTGACTTGCCAAAATTTATTTTATTTTAGTTTGCTTTATAGACGCGTTTTACTTTACTGTTAAATATTTTTGTTTTACAGATCTCCCTCAAACTGTACACACCATGACATCAACAACATCCAGTCTCCAAAGAGTTTTTATTGGCCTTGTGGCGTTTGGTGTCTGCTACTTGCTTGGCATGCTATACACAATGGATTTATCAGACCTCCACCCTAGAATAAAACCACGACACATCACAGAAAAAGAAATAAGAGGACCTACGTATCACAAGCATAAAATTGATCCAATGGATGTGAACCTTAGGGAAAGTTATGAAAGTCGGCGATCGTTGATTGATATTGCCAAACCACATTTATTGTCTCGAAGAGAGATTTTGAGTTATCATCGAGAGACCCTGGATTACCCTGTGGACCCGACCGAATCAGTGCAGTTTTATGAATCACTTCGTAATGAGGCAAATGATGTCCTAATGCAGTGTGATACATGCGCACTTGTTTCTAACTCAGGTATGTAAATTGTAATTATATCAGGCTTGAACTACTTCAGACATGGAATGCAATTGCCTTGATGCCCTCAGAGGTTTGCCAGGGTACCTTAAACAATTTTCTCTATATTTTTCCTGTGCGACATGGCAATTTTGTCCTGAAATTGGGTGTCCTCTCAAGCCCTATAATATAAATTTCTCGTTTAGTCAATCATTTTTTAAGCAAGTTATTTAATAAGGTTTTTATGTTAGTAAGAGACCTTCAGATTGATGATGGTTGTATTTATTATTTCAGGTCAACTTTTAGACTCTAGGGCCGGGGACGATATCGATTTAGCACAGTGTGTGTTCAGACTGAATGCTGCTCCGTCACTTGGATATGAATTGGATGTTGGTAGAAGAACAACTGCCAGGATTGTCTCGCACAGAAGGTAAGACGCATTCTGTCATGTTAAAGTGCAATGGTCATTGCATTTCGAATCTGATGACTTGTATGAATATGAGATTTGTGTCCATAAACATTGATTTTCCCACAATGGGAATTTAAATATCAGCTTTGACTTTTGAAATATTCGTTGATATGTCATTCCACGTTAAACGTTTATCATGTCACTTTGTGTGCTAGTTTATGTATATTACAATACATTACTGTGTACGAAATATGTCAATATTTAAATTTTCAAAATTTAGCGACAAAGGCTATACTTGGTTAGCATGTGTGTCAATTGAAATCAAATTCAACAGCTTTAAGTTGGATAGATCATTTATACAAATTATTGAAATATTTTTCCTTCTTCTAATTTCAGCATTTCAGATTTAGCTGGTAATGCAACAGAGTTGCTCAGTCGAAACAGGTTTTTACAAAATGTCTTCTTGCATGGTCCAGAATATAAATTTAACACTGGAAAAGCCCCAGCTATCCTGCAGAGCCTGCTGCAAAAATACACTGATGTTGGATTCTACAAACTCTCTAAAATAGCAGAGTCTCGATTGGACAAAGAGTACGAGATGCACACTGGAAAATCAAGGTTTGTTTTATTTTTTATTTAATACAAATACGTGATCAAGGATGGTTGTACTGACTAGATTCAACATGAGTTCATGTTAGATGTCTCGGCATGTGTCATGTATGTACCGTTTCATACTAGTATGACAATAATTGAGGGAAGTGCAGCTTGATGTGGTTGGATGCTGTAGTACCGGTAATGAATGCAAACTGTTTTCAGTGATGCATATTTGTGTTGCTGCAATCATTTTTTTCTTGAATGATACATCGCCATGAAAAAATAATTGTTTTTCGAATCTTCTTTGCTGTTCATGTGCACGATGACTCATAATAAATACCATAACAAATAGATACAATTTCAATATTACATTTATTATCATCATATGCATGTCGTTTTCCATATTTGGATCAAATAACAGATTGATGAATGAAGGCATGATTTCTGCACGAGTCAAGTGGGTTTAGTAAACTGAGTTTATTTATACAATATTTGAATGTACACAGCCAAAATAACCACTGTTGGCTAACAGTGATGTTTAAATACCTTATTTAGCCAATCTCTGGCTAAAAAAATAGGCTTTATTTTGATGTTAACGTATTATATTTCTTAACAGGGTGTCAACAGGGACTGAATATTCCACTGGACTTTATGCCTTGAGTGTTATGACAGATGTCTGTAATAATGTTGTAGTTTATGGAATGATACCAGAAACCTACTGCAGGTATGTTATTTCACCTACAAAACAAGGACAATTACATCCATGTATTTTAGACCCTGGCAGGTTGTGGTTTTGTTAGTAAATTTGCGCCTAAATTCATGCTAGTACATTATTGATTGAGCCTGCAGTCAAAATGGGGCATGTTGCAGTAATGAAAAGTCTATATGATGATCATATTGTTTATTTTGTACAAAAAAATTAGTTATTCTCTCAAAGATATATCTAATGTAAAAGTTTTGTTTGTTTTTTTAGTGAACATCCGACCAGCAAAGTGCCCTACAGTTATTACAAACCTCAGTCTGCACCTGAATGCTTGATATATCAGTACCATGAAGAAATAGAAAGCGGTGGACATCGATTAATGACGGAGAGGAGGGTGTTTAAAGCATGGGCTCTATCAAATAACATCACATTTAGTCATCCCAGGTGGTAAAAAACAATTATTACCAGTAGTATTTTTTTAAAAAACGTCCCAAATAATTTATATTCTCACTCAACTGCATTTACGATTTGCAAGAGATAATTCTGGGAGGAAAGGGATAAAGGAGAAGCTCAGTCATGTTTGGTAACCAGTGAGGAAACAAGAAGGTTGGTAGGAAGTTATAGCTGTGGGAGAAATGCAGAGTTTATGTACTGAAGAGTTGTACAATATTTGCATTACCAATCGTTTGAGTGCAACAGAATAATGCATATACTTGAAGTGACATTGCTTTCAAGAACTATTCTGAAGTTTATTTCTATGATATTTGAATTATTTATTTTCCAAGTGGGTATTGGTTGAAACTAAACTGCCACTCTACATTTTTTTTTAAATGAACTATTTTCAAGTTTTATCTTTAAAAAATGAAAACACATTTTATTAGAATTTCAACAAAACAATGCAAATGCTGAGATGAAATGTTATATTTAAATAAATTTGATAAGATGGTACCACCTTGAGTTGTACCTGTTGTGCCCAATGTTCTAGATTTTTTTAGTAGATTTTTTCCCATGAACTGCTGTGAACAGTTATGTTAAAGCCACAATTCATGGCTTAACGTTTATTTTTCTATTTATTGTATAGCACTTTGAACACCATCAGTTTTTCCACCAATATTTTGTTCTTGTTTATGTATTTTTCTATAATTTCTCATTAATTTTTTATCAATTGGGTGTTATGTTTTGACAAAAATTTTTGACATTTTGTGTGTGAAATATAACTAAGGGCATTCAATGATCAGAGAAAGTCTGACAATGTTTCGCTGCAATTGACATATTTTTCAGCAATCAATGTTAGGCCAGACTTTTATTATCCCTTGTTTCGCGAACCCACCGAATGAACAGGAGCCGAAAATGAAATAAAAATAAATTTTTATTTCAGCGTAATTTCTAGCGCCCGCCCGTCGACTTGTAAGCGCAAAAAAATGCTAAAAAAATATTATTTTTATCTTTATTTTTTTACCGCCCGCCGCATAACAAATCCAAGTTGCATTTTCGTGGGAGTATCATGATCAAAGTACCGAAGTCTCGCGCAGATGAGAAACAAGGTTATACATGGGGTAACATTTTATTTCATTTCTTCTCTCCGATCAATGATATCACTTACAATTCTTTGAGAATCACACAAATCTAATGGAAAAAAGGTTTAATTTTATTTTTTTCCCCCACCCTCAAAAAAATTGCCTTATAAAAACTTGAATAAAAGTCTGGCCTTATGTTAGTAGCCACAAGTTATCTACTATTAACATTATTGTCTGACATTGTTTTGATTATTCTCTTTATACTTAAATGTTTTTCTTGAGGGTAATTTATTGTAAGCAAGAAAAAGTTAGTAAATTGGATTTAGCAGGCTCCTGGTTTTAGACAAAAATACTCGTGAAAGTAATTTGTTTTCTTATCAGCCATGCACTAGGTGGGGGCCCTTATATAACCAACAACAAATTATTTTCAAATCTGCTAAAACCCATTTCTGAAAACTCCTTCTTGTGGCCGACTTATTCAGGGTACTTTTTATTAAGACTTAATGACAATGCACTGGGAAGGAGGGGGTGTGTGAATTAACTATATATTTTGTGACATTTTTGAGGCTGCAAACCACATGGTTTGTAAAAAAATTGTTTCAATGCAATCATTAAAAAATTATATTTCAGTTTATATTTATTTTTTTTCTTTCATGTTCTTTGCACTTTATTAAAATTGATATTATTTTTTCATACTCTGCAGCTGATTAAACTGATTTTTTTTTTGCAAAATTCTGAATAAATTTTGTTAAAAATATTATGGAAAATCTGCAGATGAAAACTGTTATTGTGCATTTTCAGAGTATACTGCAAATGCATTATTTACCATTGGATTTCGCCATTTTTTTTTTGCTCAGTAAACTACACTAAACAGGAAAATGTGAAATACCAATAGAATCTGCCGAATATAATCAAAATAGTGAAATTAAAGAGTGAAAACTAATTCCTTTACAGTTTTGAAAATAGTGTGATGACACTTGGAACAATGCAAGACAGTTTTTGTTGCAATGCAAAAGATAGAAGCATATGTCAATGCAAATTTAGAAGACTTCTACTGTTGTAGCTTTTTAAAAAAACTTTGTATATATTGATAAGATAATAAAGTTTTTCACATATTTTGATTTGTTTTGTAAGTTGTTTACCTCTACAAAATTCCCTTATTTGCGAAACCACTCATAAATTGTAATTTTATGTTCTGTTGAATTATGGGCAATATACATTTAGTAAAAATCTGAAGTTGCTTGTAACTCTTAAGTTTGAACTACTAAATGTGGATGTTAAACAACAGTAATGCAGTTCGTGCTAATGTCTAGGTGCATGGTCATCTGTGCTATGAATAATGTATGAAAAAAGGCTGTGCTGGGAATAATGTATCATGGAAAAACCTGCACTCTGATGAGAATAATGTATGGAAAACCTCCCCTCTGCTGGGAGTTGTCTATGTTGCCCTTTCTCTGATAGGAATAATATAACCTACTCCTTTCTGTGCTGGTAATGTATGGAAAACGTGCCTCCTCTGCTGAGGATAATATATGGAAAACCTGCTCTCTGTGCTGGGAATAATATTTAGAAAATCTGTCCCAATGCTCAGAAATAGCCTTGTCTCTAGAATGATTTTTTTTCCAAACAAATTTAGGGATAATTTTTGCTTCTCGGGATTCCTGTCAGGTCATGTCAATTCTTGGCATAGTGGGGGACAAGCGCCCTCTAAGGCACCAGATAATCAATTTGTTTTTCATGGGATTTGCGCATAAGCATATTTGTGTAATCTTCGACAGACAATATGGTTTGTGATGTAACTTTCACACAGTATACACATAAATATTCACCATATACAAAGTGGCCTTGTAAACTTTTTTGTAAATCATAAATTGAACAACACACTTTGCAGCTTGAAAAAGTTATCAGGTCTGTGGAGTAGTATTCTAAGATACAAAATTATCAAGATTTGACTTTTTCATTATTTTTTAAACTTTTAAATAGAGGCCAAATGTTTCATTTGTTTGATGGTTTTCTATTGTTTCACTCTAAAAATGAGATTATGGTCTGAAAATGGCTGTAAACAAACTTGATACATATATATTCACCATTTATTTCTCATGATTTTTTAGCCATGTACGTCAAAATCTTGTATTAACTGTTTTTTTTTACATGCTTTGTAATGTTGCATGGGACAAGACTTTGAACGAGATGCATTTTGACAACTGGTGATTTAATAAAAAGAAAATTGCAATTGTTATATTTAAATATGCAATTATACAATGAAATACGTTATAGGGACACTTCTCATATTAATGGGCAATACAATTGCACAAATTCGTTGAATTGATTTTGAGATAATAGATCACCTAACAGACACACTAATCAAAGAAGATGCTGTATTGATCATATGTTCTTCTTGTTAGTTGTTTGAGGTGTGGCACGGACCATGTATTGCTAGTACCGCATTTTTTCTACTAGTTGCTCTGCGTAAATGACGAGTCTATCGTGAAATAAATCACATCGTAATAATCATATCCAGCATACAATACACACAATTTATGTTTTGAGTGATCTTCTAATAGTATGTTCTTTCAGTTGTCTGAGGTGACAGTTTACCCAGTATTCTTTTATGAGATTTGCAACAAACAAATGCAATTCATACTAGATACATTTCATAGTGTAGTTTTTAATATTACAGCAATATATATATATTTACAAATCAAAAACTTTTTCATACAATACATGGTTTTTAATACTTCTGGAAGGCACACTTGAATAAAGCACCAAACATTCACAATTCATTTTGTCTCGCATGCTTAGAAATGGCAGTATAAAAAGAGTGAAAACAAGAACAAAGTTATAATGACGACAAATATTAAGACTATTCAAATAACTATATACATTACATAATAAGTTCTGTACAAGAAGTTGAAGTGGTATGGCCATAGAGGGCGCCACATACCAGATCAATGAAAGAGGATGGGCAAGAAGTTTTCATTTTGTTGGGATGAAGGAAATTTTTTTTTTTTAGAAATAAAAACAGTGATTGTGCTGCCAAGTCCTTTTATGTTGTTGTTTTTCAAACTTTTCTTTTAGTAGTCTTTCCCCTAGGTGATTTAGGTCTAGCTTTGCTACTGACAGTGGAGAGTGGATACAAACTCCTTCTTGCACCTTTCTGGGTAACAGTCACTGAACTCTTCTTACTAGCCACAGGCTGTACAACTGGATTACTTCTAGTTCTCTCTAGCGGTGCAGTCTTGGGACGCTTTCCTTCTTTATTGGAGCTGTATTTAGAAGCCCTGCAAAAGAAAAGAGAAATAAAAATGCTGGGAAATTTTACAATTTGATGGTGTTCATAAATACATTTGGCAAAACTCGCAGTGAAATTTTCTTTGCAACAACATTTTATGATTTTAACTTTCGTCTCGTAATTAAAGCAGTTTATAGTACATTCTTTGAAATGATGTTCAAGCATGTATCAGAAACAGTCGATGTTGCTAAATCAAAATCTTAAACAAATTGATATGCATATTGTGTTTCTATCTATTTTGAAATTGATCAAGGTATGTTCAAGAAATAAATCTAGGTGCATGGGAAAGATTCACAGCACCCAAAAAGAATGGCCAGGTTTTTTGTACTACCAGTGAGTCAGAATGGGGACCAAACATTGTAATTTATAGAATCATTATCAAAATTTGATCACACAAGTCAGAAAGTGCATTCAATGAAAATAAACGCACCAGTTATTCACAAACCATCTTTGCCAGCCAAGTTCTGACCATTTGTTTTATGGCTACTGTAAAAGGGTTAATTATTCAATGGGTTCTAATTTTGCTTATTTCGCTGACTGGAAAATGCGCTAAATTGAAACCCAGTAAATATATAAAATTTAGAATAGAACACATTATCTAAATGATAAAACCGTGAATTTAAAACCCACTGAATATGCCTGAAATGGTAAATCAGCGAAATTTAAACCCAGTGAAAATTAGTCATTTTACAGTATTGCCATATGTTGCACTATCCATGATTGGCCGCATGCTTTACAGGCATGTTCAATCAGATTTATCTATTTTGCAGAGGTGAAATGCACCTCTCAGTAGAGAAAAATTACACACATATTCGTGGGAAAATATGTATGCAAAACTACACTACTCAGACAACGATTGCAAAGATCTTCCTTTATTTGTAGAATAAGAAAATAAAATTAAAATATTTTGATGAATAAAGTAACTGCTTACCTATATTGATTATCATTTGGTCTGCGTGGTGACTCGACACCCTGAATTGGTTTTAAAACTCTAAAAGCAAAAACAAAATATAGTAAAGTAAGTAATATAAGACCAAATTTGGCATGTTGCCAAAAAAGCTACCTGATACATTGGCTTCAGCAATTGACACAGCAGATCAACAAATCAAATGACACTGTAATTCTCTAAAAATCAAAACAGGAAGTGAGAAGAAGGTTGTTTGCCTTAGTGCAGGGAAACATGGAAACATCAGTTAACATGAGTTAAAGAAAATGTCTTAATTTGTGACAGCATTTGGATTATCTAGTTTGTGGTAAGTGCTGGCATCATTTCTGAGATTGTGATGCAGTTCTTTCTTAGAGAATACCCCCCCCCCCCCCCAAAAAAAAAACCCAGATCTATTAAAATGTCTAAAAATACCTTGCATCAAATGTTGTCTTTTTCATAGCAGTAGATGTGACTGGTGGTGGTGCTGTCTTAGGTCGACTTGTCACTGCTTTGGTACTTGTGTTACCAGTTCTGTTTTTGAAAGAAAAATACAATTTAATTCGATACATAGAAAGTATGCACATCTGTCAAGGAGTTTATGGATACTAGAATGTAGTAGATGTGCAAGCAAGTTTGCACATGTTTGTACTTGTACAGTATTGTCAACCATTTCAGCTATAAAATAACTTGTGAGGATGAAATTCTGTGAAATTCACGGTCTTGAAGATTCTACATAACCAAACATTATTGTAAAAAGTTTCATTTTCACTGCTGGAGTTTTTCCCTATTTATATTATGTTTATTTGGTACTAAAATACGAAAATTAGTGTCAGAGATCTATAGCAATTCATTTCAATGGTGTACCAGTTCATAATTTAAATATATTAGTCAAATCCACCAAGATTTCTCAATGCAAAGATATTATAAGAAGACACTGGTGGACAATATTCATGTTTCAATAATCTCAGTTCGCAAGTCACTATAATAACTGGGCCCAACAACAAGCCTGTGCATGTGATGATTTCCTTCACTTTAAATTTTCACTGCTACAGGATTTTATCATATCAACAGTAGCTCTAAAAATGGCACACTATGCAAAGATTTGAAAACTTACTGAATCTGTTTCCGCCTTTCCATTACCTTTTTAGTTGCTGCGGATACTTTTTTGTTCAATTCCGGTTTCTACAAATGAATAAAAGTTTGACACGACAAAATTATGAACTCACACTAAAATGATGTCCAGAATGCAGGAGTTGAACTCATCACAAATAGTGATCAAATCTAAAGCAGTCATTGATGATGTCCATGTGAAAGTGGAAGCATTGCATCATGGGATTTTTAGTCTCAAGACTAAAAATGACTTAAGCCCTGAGCATCAGTTTTCGCAAGAAAGAAAAAGCGATTTCTTGCGAACGCCGCGTTTGTTTTAATTGGTTGATGTAGCAAATTGACACATTTTCAAAGGCCTTCAAATTAAAATAAGAGACAATACAACTTTAATAGCTCTATTAGAAGTACATCTCTAATAGAGGTGCCTGTGAGACTAGCAATTGTGTTTGGAATGGAGTTGAGACACCACTTACCTGTTTCTTGAGACGTCTCTCTTCTTTTAATAATCTATCAAAATAGATAATTGCCATTCTTTCCTGAGTTGAGATCTCAAAAAAGATTTCATGCATGTCAAGAAGTGCCGCTCTCAACTAAATATAAAATAGATGAATAAATTGTGAATAACATAGCCATGTAGTTAGTGGGCACAGTTTGCTTTCAGTCACCTGACAAAAATAATTATACAAAATGCATTCAGACTTCTCTCTTCTTCTCTGATGGGATTCGTCAACCAATTAGAGAGAGCCTTAATAAAAATCAGCGTGTACACTAAGTTACGATTGGTTGCTTATCCTGAGAAATCTGAATGCAATTTGCATTGATAGTTGGTTAGATTTACATGTGAAATTTGAATCAGATTGACCTGTAAGGAACGATGTGTTACTGTTTGTGATTACCAAAATGAAACATGCTCTGATCTTGTATGAATACTGCACATAATTTCCTGATTGCTAAATTTTTTTTAATGAGTCACAGTAATGAATATATGAACATCATAAGTGAGTTTATTGTGTAAACGAATAACATAGACTTTTTGACACAAGCAAAAAAAGTTTTAAATTGGTCATGCTATGTTTAGACCGAGAATGGATGTATACCAACCTGAGCAATGACTCTTTCAGCTAGTCTGACATCTTGCGGAGACAGGTTCCCCCTCTTGACTGGTGTCTCTTCTTGAAAGGAATACACAAAACGATATGTATCCTGCATAGGAAAGGGACAAGAAATTTTCATGAGTCAGCAAACCACCAATTGCTGAAACAATCCAGTATGTACATAAATAACTACAACTTGAAAACACAGAATGGAAGACATACAAGGCAGCTATGTGAGTGGTGTTTCTGCCAATAATTGTTTTAGAATTAACAAACAAAGCTTTACCAAAATAAGCTCCACACCAAATACAAGACAGGAGTTGTTTATATAAAACATAGGATGGAAGACATACATACCGTGAGTGTTTTGACAATTTCTTGCACTTTCTCAGTCTTTAGTAGTCTCCTTGTAAGATACCCTTTGACTGTAGCTGACATTAAATCATATTTATGTTTCATATCTCTGGAGGTTGCCTGAAATAAGCAATAAACACAAGACAGAGCGTTACTTTTTTTTACATTTTCCACTGATGCTTGACTACTCCAAAGCATAATATATTTTCATACAATGCACAACATATTGGACCACATTTCTCTCAATATTTCATTAACTATTGGTATTTACACTGGTATGACACACCAAAACTGGGCTAAAATTATGATAATTATGATAATGTGATGAAAATTACTCTCAAGTTATATGCCCAAGAACAACCATTAACACTGACAATGACAATCCCAACAGACAAGTGAAAAAGCACAAACAATTCTTAGGTTCAATTCTATTTGCAATTTCTCTAAAGCATAAAACCCTACTTTTGAAGCCATTTTCAATTGGAAAATGGGCAAAATGCATACAATTAAGGTTGAACAATAAAAAATAAAGTTTAAGTATCCCTAAATTTTTTTTTAAATAGCCAATGATAAGGAATAATTTAGCTAAGTTTCAGGAAATTCCTGTCCCCAAAAGTGTGCTAACCGTGACCGTCCTTAATAAAGGTAGTTAACTTACTTTTCTCATCAAGGCAACCATCCTTGGACTGTTAGACATATTCAGTTGAGGCGAGCTGATAATACTTGCAGTACTGGTATCTGCGACATCAAAATAGTATGGTTGACGTCTATGTAATGACTCTGAAGTATGGGGTCTACCACTCGTAGTACTGCCACCGATGTCTTCTAAACTATCACAAGGAGTTGACTGAGAAGAATGTCTACTCTCCACATCGCTATCATCTGCAATTATAAAACAAACTGTTAACATTGTTATACAACAAACATGGAACAGCATCACCAGGCTTTCGTTAAGGATAAAATAATTCCAATTCCAATTACCAACAAGTTTAGTCACTTCGCCAACCGGGAGATGATAGCATTATGTGAATCATGGTCATTTTTCGGATTCTAGAAATACCGGTATATGTTACAGTAACATACACATTATTACCTCAAGGAATATAAACAATATTCATGTGCACATTTTAGTTTGACTGCATGTAACTTTTGGACAAGAGTATCTCATCTGATTTTTAAACAAGCAGCCTGTTGGTTGTAATAGCTCCGCTGTTAGCAATGCACATTTAAATTAAAGAACTGAAGATATCATTAGAAAATGAACAATATGTATCGTATTAAAGCAACCTGACCGTTTTCAACAATATGATAATTCCTAGTTTTCAGCCTGTAAGGGAACTCTAGACAACCTACCTGGTAGTGAGTATCGATACAATGAAAATGTTTACGTAAGATCACTCTGCAGTACTAAGATACTGCCCTTTCACATGCACCACTGTGAAGATACAATTTACAAGTACCGGTATGAGTAGTAATTGTGACTTACCCCTTCCTTCCAAATGTCTCAGCACTTTCACTTTCTCCAACCAATCCTGGTTTTCAGTTTTCTCATGCTGTATTGTAACCTGCTCTATCACTTTCCTTTGTTCTTCTTGGTATTTTCTCTCTTGTTCTTCCAATTCCATTTGTAACACGACCTGCTCTTCATTCTGTTGCAACAGTAATTGTTCTAGTTGTTGTTTCTGTTGCTCAAACAACTGTGTGCGAAGCTGTTCAAAATACTCCATCTGTTGTTGTTGGAACTGCAGTAACAGTTCTTCTTGGTTTAGCACCGGATATCCAGTTGTAGCAGGTCTCAATACAGGTTGGCTTGGGACGCCCATCACTGATTCTGATGGCTCTGTCACTGGATCACATCTGGTTAATGGTCTTGAAAATGTTGGAGCAATCCCCAATTGTCCAGCAGGGGCTGGAGTGGAATGACTTGAAGGTGGGCTTCTCAGAACAACATAATGTTCTTGTGAAATTTTCGCAGGTTTTTCTATACTAGCGTGGTAACTTTTCCCTTTTCTCAGAGGTTTTTTTGCTTCTGTTCTCTCAGCTGAATGAGGAGTCTTCAAGTTCTCTTCACCACTAAATTCCAGACTTCTCCTGGCGGAAAGGTTTCTCAAAGATTCTACAGATACATCTTGATCTGATTGTGCTTTGACTAAGGCTGGTGAGGGTTCATCTAAAGTGTATGATCCTCTACGTCTTCGACACTCTGGAGGTGATTCCTCTTCCCTACTGCTACTAGATGCCACTAAGGGAACGTCGCCACTCACTTCTTGGCCTACTGGTGCACCTCTAACTCTCCTGCTATCATACACTTCTGTTGATTCATCAATGACGGATTCGTGTATATCTCTTAAAGTATCTGTGCTCTCTGTGATGTAGCTGACAGGCAAAGAACATGACTGAGCAGCAGAACCGAAAGTCAGTTGATCTGTGCTGCCGGTACTCAACAAATCTCTATCTTCATAATGTTTTACAGCGTCTATTGTTTTTGCTGTAGATTTCTCGGTATGTTCAGCAGCTGGCTGAGGAGATAAGCTTTCAGCTGGAACTGGGAATGCTTTTGAATGTGGCTCAATGGGGGCATCATCAAGTGTGGTGGGGGTGGGAGTTGGCAGTGGGTTATAATCACCAAGCAAACTCAGAAGAGATTCTGAATCGCTAGGTGGTGGAACATCATGTTGAAGATCTTCAGTAGCTGGTGCATCCATTTGGTTTGCATCTTCTAGCACATTCGGTTGCGACTTCAACTCAGGATCAACATACTCTACCTGTTCAGAAATGTCCTCTTGCGAAAGTTGATCTACATTTATATCCTGAACAGATGGTAATACCTTAGTCGTACTATCTTCCCTTTCAGTAACTGTATTCGTTGAGCCAGCAGAGCTAGAAATACTATCACAACTATCATTCACAGCAATGACTGTCCTGTTCAATTCACTAATATCACTGCTACTGCCGGTACTCGCAGAACGATAGATCATGTCATCAGTAGCATCCAGGTGTAAAATTTGATCACCTAAACCTGAATCTTTGCCACTGACATCATCATTTACTTTAGATTCAGGACTTTCTATAGGAGTTGAAGCAGCTTGTTCTCTGGATGTATCGTTATATGATGATCCCAAAACACTGTCAACTGCAAGCGATGTAAATGATTCCTCGGGTAATACCGGGCTACATTCTGGAGTAACAGTCTCACTGGGTGGTGGTATTGGTGTTATTCTTTCCTACAAGTAACAAAAAAAAACTTTGTTTCAATGTTGATGAAACACTAGATTTGCATTCATAACAATGTATTTTATATAATTTACAAGACAGAAAGAAAACAGATTAAAATAGAAATGCTGTCAACAAAGGCCGAAACAATAAAACTGGGGATCTGTTGGAAAGTCTAGAATACTGCAATATGAATATTCAAAATATATGTACAGAAATAAACACATCATTCTGTTGACATTAAGTTTCTAACCACAGTAATAAAATTAACTGTACATCTTAATAATTCTTAACATTAGTCTTTCCAAGAAGACAACCACTGGGAGGAGGGGTCCTGACTCACCGACTCATAGAATCATTTTGCTGGTTTTTATACACAGTTAAGTTGAGCATGCATATCAATACAATTATTTATTGTCTTGTAGCAGTATTTTTGTTGTTGATAAACAACACCAATATTATTCAATGATACATATCATCATCAGTACACGACTTCTTACCTCAATTGAATCTACAATAGCCTGTACTTTGGATACAAGCCTCTTTTTTCTTTCTTCATGTAGTTTAGCTTCAAGTTCCATGGCTAATTTTTTATATTTACGCATTTCTTCAATCTTATCCTCTGTCATCTAAATCACAAAGTATATGGTAAATTTGTTACACCTCAAATCCACAGCATCCCATTATACATAAATAGAACTTTAGCTATTACATAAATATATACAGTAGACCTTATTTTTGAGGTCAAGTCCTCTCAATTCAAACCATTTTGGAGTAATTTTAATCACCAGCTTCTACTTGTAACTTTTTTGCCCTGTGTATGTTTTATATCAATAGAGTTTATGTGGTAAACAGTAATGAAACAGAGAAACTAATTATCATTCTAAACACCAGCAAATAAACTCCTATTACAAGAACTGAAATTATAGTTCAGAAAAGCATTTTTAATCAGAAAACAACTACGTACTGATCGATAAGGAAGGTTAAAATCATTGTAAATTATCCAATTTATATGTATAATTATTCTACACAGTTGGTAGCAAAGAACTATCTTATCTTATCATACTGATATAGAAGATAAAGTTGAAAAGTATAAAAATGTATAACAATTTGTTGACTTACCAGTGGGGGTGGAATTGATTTCCCATTCATTTTAATCATTGACACATACTCCTTAGAGCTGTTCATTGCAATCATACTATCACTCAGTGTATACAATGCTTGCATCTGATTCTCGAAAAAGTCGGAGATGTCTCCCATCATAGACATTGCTGATGTCTGGTGAAAAAAACCCACAAATTTCACTTAATGACATATATACAGTAACAAAGATTTCTATTCCCCTCCTTCTACATAAAATACAAGAGTCACATGGAGTAGCCTTGATCGTCTTTACCTGGTTAAATCCAACCAGAAGTCCAAAGCTCAGTCTGAATGTGCTATGAAGCCTATACGCATGCCAGATTTATACATTACAAACTGAATCATCAAATTTGTCATTATGACAAATACAAATATTTTAAAAACCACACCCAGTGTTCTAATTGTAAATCTAGTTTAGATTCATGAAACAAACAAAAAAAACAAAAAAGGAAAAAATCTGTAAGAGCATGGATGTACGCAAGAACAAGACACATGTACAGTAATTTTAAACAATCAAACCACATTCAACTCGCAAGCAACGAAACTCTCCATACAACATAAAATAAACATTGATAACATATAACATAATGAAGCCTACCAAGAGAGTGCAATGAAAATGAAATTCGGTGACAAGTTTTTCGGGTGAAACCTCCATGGCAGTGACGATACGTAACAGCGTGTGCTGATTCAAACTTATGTATGACAAACAGGCACGTATGAAATAGTACTTAATCGTCGAGACATGACGCGACACGAATCACAACGAATTTTAACAAGTCAGGACAAAATTCCACACAACTTGGCCGATAATTCTAAGTGAACACTGTCGGACAAGTAGTCTATTTCTTGGTTCATCGATTAAAATGCACACTTTCAGTAAGATACGGGGGTTAGTACCACAAAGCGTGTACTGAAATGGTGCGTATGTAAGTTCGAAATGTACAATTCGATCTGGTACTATTATTGTTACACGTACAGTGACTGTGAGTACTGCGCAGCCTGTTGTATCTTGCTGTATGATGCAGCGCCTGTATAAAGCCATCACTATAGTTCAAATATATATTTAGAAAGTGGTAAAATTCTCGAAAATAGTATAAAATCTTAACAAACCTGACATTGTTTTGATACTTTTCCAACATCGGACGTCGCCATTTTGAAAAAATGTGCAATGTTGTGATTGCTTTCGAGAAGTAGATATATAAAACACGCTCTCATTGGCTATTTAAAAAACGTAATTGCATTATTGACCAATCATGACAGGGTCTTTTCATTCTTTCGGTAAGAATCAGATGAGGTAGGATATAACAAACAACCAGTCATCCCAATCAACAATGTTCGCGCAAAGAATGCCGGTACAAGCAACATATCACGTGATTGTTGCTTAGATCAGCTGAGTGTGAATCGCCTTGTTGTTTCTGAAGTGCGCAATTTATTTCGTGCGGATGTTTTTTTGCGTGTGTCGTTACCTTACCCATAACGTACCAGGAAAGGATATATTGCAGTATACTGGATACAGTTACCAGTCAGTTTAACTACTGCTAACCATTGTATTAATGTACTAACGACGTGCTTCGTGTGTATCGCCGGAGTATCGAAATCGAAATATTCGGCGAATCTTGTGTTGGCTGATTTATATAAAGTCTGTAATTTTGCTACTTGGAATTTTATCTCGGGCTGCTCGTATCGACTTCAACTATGGATATGAACGTAAATGGATAAGGAAAGATTCGTCCTCGTTACCAGTTTTAATGTTTTCGGGAATTGAGAAAAACCCCGCGAAATCCACGCATTCATTTGCGTAAGTAAACAAGCGAGTTGTTAACACCGAATATATTACCTATTCAGTAGGCTTCTTTCATTTTTACTAATCATGAATGCCATAATAGCTCTGTGTCACTTTTGTGAGGTGCATGGGCCGAGTGTTGTGTTATGTACTCAACCGTTTCACGCTAAAGTCGCCAAAGATAAAGTACAACATCATTGTGGTGGTGACGATGGGACTGAAAACTTGTCCGGTGACTGGTTCTTCAACAAGGATCGTCGACCGAAGTCGTCATTATCGTCAACATCGGCTGAAAGGCCACCGACACCTACCAGTAAGACATCGGACTCTTGTGAGGTTGGTATTTCTTTAATAGTGTCATACAACAATTTCGCAGAACTGCTTGTATACGCCGTGTACGTAGCTTATGAACTCATTTATTGTGAGTGTGTCATTTGGATTTGAAAATCGCGATATTGGCAAATATTTGGCTATATTTAGCACAGTAACTTCAGTTGAACTTTGAGGGAAAATTCTTTCTCGCATGTTAATAAAATTCTAATTGATTTCTAAATACATGTTCAACTAAAGATTACATTTAGTGTACTAACCATAAATACGTATAAACTATTTAACATTTGCCATACACAAATTTCGAACGTGTCAGTTGGTGCAATTAATTGGGACTCGCACATTTGGAGGGAAAATGCCGCATGGAAAACCCATGTCAACACCGCTGACAAAAGACTCCCTAGCTGTTTCATTGAAGTGTATGCAAATACACATTGTCAAGCGTATGAATGGACCTACTAGTAAACATAATTTGCATACCATGGCCATACTGAAGAAAATTCTTGTTTCTCTGTAAGTGTATATGAAATTCACATTTGTGTGGCTGTGTCTGTAGTTTCTCTTTTTACTAATACAGACATTTTTGTTCTGGTTTCAACTTTATTATTAATTAATCAATGACCATTTATGCCAATATAGAAAAATATTGTCTGAGTGAATTACTTATTTATTACATCACCTCCTAAAACAGTTTGAAGTGAGACTCTTCAATCAAAGCAAAATATCATTTGAATTAACATTTTTCTATAAACAAAAATGTTTTTATGCATTAGCAACAGTAATCTTTTATTACTTCAGGCATGCAGATCATTTGTACCTGGGCAGTCAAATTTCATTAGTAAAGATACTGACGCAGCAATTAATTACATGTCAAGTCAATATCCAGAGCACTCCAGACTCTACAGTATTGTCAGGCAGGCATGTCTTAGAAGTCTCAGTTGTGAGGTAAGCATTACATGGCTGACATGTTCTACTTCAACAAAGTTTACATTTGAATGTTCAACTGTTTGCTCTAAATTCTTGCAATTAATTTTATTTTCTTAGTATTTTGTACATTCCAACTTTCGAAATTAGCAGATTTGCCAGTGTATGCTTCCTATATAATTACATGTTCATGTGGATTTATTATTTAATTAATTTAGTTTACTTGACTGTGAGAATAAGTGAATTAAAACCCAGTGCCTGAAGGTGCTCAGACAGTTCATGAAAACAAAGTAATCAGTCAGTTTACTCACAGAGGGCGCTGTTTGCATTGCACTCAATGTATGGAGTGCACCATCATTCATGCTGGGATGGAAGCTATAGTGGGTTAGGTAGAATAGGTTTGTAGCTCACATTTGGGTGTATATGGAAACCATAGCGCCCTCGATGTACAAATGTGTTCATTGCAAAGACTCAAGAGTTTGCATTTTCATTTTTGACTTCCACATTTTTGCTCCTAACTCTATGTAAAAACATGTGACAGATTAAAAGTCATGAGAAAAAAAAGCCAAATGGACAAGGATTCTACAGATAAAGATGGTGAAAAAAATATCACATGTGCAAGTCACAAATAATCAAATTTTCAAACTTAAAAATATGGAAAACGAGAGTAGGAAATGTCACGAAAAATGGTGAAATTATATCTTCATATCTCAAAATGTTGTTAAGTGACACAAAATGATAAGTCCTGTATTATTATTGATGTGAATTCTAATATTGTTTAAACGATCAAAAAAAATAAATTTAATTTGGTATCGAGCTTTCAGTGTGATATTTCACTGTTTAAAATGAAAAGTTAACTCCCATAATGCATTGCACACATGTGCGATAACATGCTCAGTAGTCACAATTTTTGAACCATGTATTGTTGGTTACTATTTAAATAAATAATCAGATTTCCATGACACTATGGTTTTATTTTGCAAAACATCAGTCAAATATTTATAAAAATAGCAAATTTTTGAACTATATCCAATAATTTGTGAAAAAAAATATTGAAAAAATCATATGTAGCTGTAAGATGGACGCTTATGGTTTTCAAGAATTATAAAGACATCCTGAGAATTACTGTTAATTATTTTCTTTATAAAATAATGCTTTAAAATGGCTTCCTATGAAAATTGTTCGAAAAATGTCTATTTTTGCATATTTTCAGGCTGTTTTTTTTAAAAGCAAATATTTAGCTCTGGGAAAGGAAAATCCTGAAAAGTTGACAAATACCCGTAATCTACAACAAATTCCTGAAAAATAATTCAATTAGGTTCTATTCTTTCCAAAATAAACCTTGGGATAGAATCTATGATAAGTAAATTAGATGTCTTTTGTACAGAGAGTATTTATTTTGACTACATTGGCACTACCAGCTCACACCTTTCCGCTGTATTTAATAAATCCTTATAACGTAGTGCATTGTTTTATATCGCTTACAACGAGCGACCACTCCCAGCTCAATTACAGTATTTATTTTTAATGTCCGTGCTCATGTAACTGATTATCAATTACTTGTTTCAGATAATTAAAACAAAACAGTTTCTATTATTGTCTGACAAAGGGGTTTAGTTTTACTGGTGGTTTGTAATGTTGGGGTAACTTGTATTTTAACAGACAAAACGAATAATCAATTTCAGCAAAGATCAGTGTGGGTTCAGCACTCCCATGCTGACATCACAACATAACATTCATGTCAGATTTGCAGCAAATAATTCCTGTTTGACTCCCACCAATTCAGGCTTATGCATGTAGAAATAACAAGGACAAGCGCATGGAAACCGTGACAATGTGTACGTTACACACACAAACCAGGTTTTAGCAAGCCACCTGTCTACCTGTCATTTAAGACAAGCTTTCCCTATTTTCGACTGGCACGAAATTTGAATTCACAGGCTAATTTTTTACAAACCTGTCAGCTATAAATAATCCACAAAAATAGATATATGGCTGCTACAGATTTCAAAAATTATAAAATAGATTTTAGACAGGCACTTTTCATTTTCTGGCCAATACCCTGATGAAAGCGAACATCACAGCTGAATTTTGTTTTCATTAAATTGCTTACAGGTGTGTCCAGGAAGAGAAGGACCAATTTATTTTGGTGATGAGCGTATGAATGTTTTAAGTCATACATTTTTTATGAAGGATAGCCAAGCAAGAGGTCTCCAGCGATGGTACAGTGTTATAGTCGTTATGATGGATCGAATATATCTACTTAATTCATGGCCATTCCTTGTGCAGAACATTCGGCAACTCCTTGATGAATTGCAGTCAAAAGCCGAGAAAGTTTACAAAGCCGAGCAGGCTGAGGTTCCCCAGCGAGCAAAGCGAATCAATAGCGAGTTTATGACACCTGGTAACTTCCGCCGCCAGCGTAGTTCCGGAGGTAAACCAGCCAGGTCATTGGTCGATTTAACAAACGATAGGAATATTTTTAAATATTTACACATGTCATTTGCCTGGATACTAAAGGCATGTGGAAATCGCCTGACTGAGAAAGTACTGGAAGGTTCACCGACAGAAGATGCACTGATACACTTAGAGAAACAAGAAGGTGAGAAAATCTTTCGTAAAAGCATTAATTTTTACTTGTATGTCATTGTTTTGATTACTCGATCATATTCACCAATTTTGAAATTCTTAAATTTTTATTGAGTTGTATTGATGGATTTAATTTTGCAAAAACCATGCATTGCAGAAAACACAATCCTAAGTCAGTTGTCTACATTGTAGTAACTGCTACTATCATTATTCGAGTATATTTATTCGATAACCAATAATTACAAATTTTATACATGTCAAATGTCCCCAAAATCATTGTGACGTGTGTCACTCCTGTTCATTTCTTCCTAATGTATACACTTGTATATAGCTGCCATGCTGGATTGTTACAATTACATAACCACCCAAGCTCCCCTCTGCTTTGAATGCCACCAAAGAATGGATCACAGACCCCTCTATGCAGGGATAGAGGGACTGCGAACAAATCAACAGCAGTGTTTTTTTTTAGTTAAACAATGCCCTGCCTTTTTTAAATGCCACGCCACAACCCCCTTTTTTATGCTGATCACTGTGGGTTGATGAATGGCTCTTTGTAATAAGAAGTTTTAATTGAAATCTTTATTTTCTTTAACCAATGAATGTTTGGAATTTCATCCCATTGTCTGATTCACATGGAATGTGATCAATTAATACTCTGCAGATTAGTTTGTTAATTGCATTTGATATTGAATATAACAATGTTTGTCTGTTTCAATCAATCAATCAATCAGAGTACAGACAAAAATACAACATGCACATGGCTCACCCTCATCCCTATGCCAGAGTATCTTGCCACTGTAAGCAGACATGCACCTCAGTACGCTGCAGTTATCGTCCTAACTAATTAGTATGCATAAATACATTTTTTATGCGATGAATCATAATGTAGTTTTCAACGGTCCAATTTCTCTAGTCACGGAATAAGTGATGACCAAACTTCCAAAAAATATACAAATGTTTAGTCCTTTTAAATTTGATTCCTTAGTACAGTAATCCGGGGGGTAATGGAAATGAAATTCTGAAATGAAAGAATAATAAATATATTAATAAATAGAACAACAAATGCAGCTTTCTGATTTATGTATGCATAGCAAAAAATACTGTAATTTTCTGATGTACCTATTCAGCTTTTTGCTTTTATTTTTCTGAAAAGAAGTATTTGCTTATGTAATGTTTGTAGCCAGCCGTGATGCATTCCACAATTACCGAATGGAATCTTACTAATGTACTTTGCAAGTTGTTTAATCATTCTAAAAAAAAAAAACGCCCAAAGTTTGTTGTAGTAATTGTCGCCTTTCTGTCTGTTACAGACTCTGTGATAATACATTAAATGCATCTCTATATTGCCGGTATACAGGCACTTAAAATTCAATCCACACCCAGTGACCCTTGAAGACCCCAGGACAGACTCCCATGGCTTGCAGTGCAATGCCAACTAGAAGAGCCATATTTGTTTCTCAATATATACTGCCCTACATTATAGTTGAATGGGGGGGGGGATGTTCCCTCCAAGGCCACTTTTTTTTCAGTGTTTATAGTGTGGAGTCTTTTAAATGGTAATTACGGCACTCTATGCAATTCCCAGGGTCCTTTGAATGGAAATGTTGTCAGGTGGAAAACAGGCTACATGTTTGTAGTAGACTTAATCCAATAAAAAGTGCCTCTTCTTGACGCTCAAAAGTTCACCACTTTTATACCGTCATTTGTGTTTGGTTTCATTTTGCACAATATCTGCTTTCTTTGAGAAGATTTACATGCGATATTGCATCAAAACTATTTTATTAATTTAATTATCTACCTTAACTGTTATTTAAGTTCGTATTTGTAAGTGTAGGTGATTGTATGCTTCAGGGTGGGTTTACAATTCAGCCTTGTAACAGTTTACAGGATTCTATCTGTTTAATGTTGCAGTAAAAATTTCCTGGGGTTCTAAAAGCAACTGTCACAAAATTTAGCTCTTTTGTACGTCATGGAGTCATCAAATCATGAATGTTCTTAATAGTGAAATAAACACAATTGTAAACAAACTGGAGACTAAATTTTGGCCAAACTGTTGACTATGATTCTACTGCCCTGAACCAGGCACCTCAACAGATGCAGAATGTTGCATTGTTTGGTGATTCAGCCAAATCCTCAATAGATTGGTGTCTACCTGCTGTGCTTGAAAGTGATGCAAATCTCACCCTCACCCAACTTTGTCAATAGTTGAGCAAAAACTCTCGTCAACTTTTTTAGTACATTCTCCAAATAAATACAGCAGTTTACGTCATCCTACATTAACGCTTTGAGTGCTGTGCCAAAGACAGCTTCAGTCATTCACAAAATTATTCTATTTATATAATCTGCTTTTTCCCACAGAAAATGTTTTTTTTTAATCAACAACTAAAAGACTTGTCACATTTTATGCGGTTGTGCAAAAATTACAATTGAAATTCAGTTAATTTAGAGAAATGTGAACAAATTTATCCCATTTTGAGTGGGAAAAAAATTAAGGGTTAAGACAAATGTGGGTTTCCCATTTTTGACTCCTGTGTGGGAAGCACACAATGGGAGTCTTTGCGTTAGTTTGTCTGTGTGTGTGTGTGTGTGTAATGTATGTCCGCCTGTTCCACTGATATCTCAAGAACCATACATTGATTTTTGATGAAACTTGGTGCATAGATGCTCTGGGCCAATGCGCAGATTTGATTAGGTTTTGGTAAAAATCCCATGCATATAAATTACCTAATTTGCATGATAATTAGCTGATTTTTAGCTGTGTCATGAC